TATATATATACGTTATCTATATGGCAGGCCTATCCAAAAATTATACTTAGCTTGCAGGTTAAATGCTTCTCTCTCTGCATTGTTGAGCGAGATAGAGAAAAAAAAATAAAAAAAGATAGAGCTCTACTCAGTAACACATACGTAACAATATTAAGAAGCTGACTATTCTCTAGTGTTTGTCCCTTTCTGTTTTCTATTTGTCTCGCTCAACGAGACAATAGAGAAGTGGGAGTATTTAGTTCAAGAGCTATATTTCGAATAGGCCTGATCTATAGCATTCATCTATTGTAGATATAGATGAAAGACGACATGGTAAGGCTGATAAAGGTTGTACAGACCTCACGGAGATTATTTTGCAGATCTTCCAGATTACCGTTATTGGCAATTTTTAACATAGGTGGTTCTGAAAGGGCTTGCTGCTGCTTACTAGTACCTTTTTCGTTCACAAATTCATATTCATCGCTTGTCGCCACTGATTCCATGGATTTTACACTCATACTATCCTCCATAACTAGGTCTGCAACATTGATATTCAATGAACGCCGAATTTTACAATTAGCAACAATCTTTAAAAGCATGCAGCAGCTTCTTTAAGATATCATACGTATATTATATTCCTAATGTTTTTTTTTAATGTTCACACAATATTTTGTACATATTTTCAATAAATAAATAAAATATAATTTCAATATTTTGAAATATAAGTTTCAATTAGAAACTTATTTATCTCAAATTATCTATACAAAGTGCGTATTTATCTCAAATTCATCTATATACAAAGGACAATCTTACATCCTTGAAAAGATCCCATGCAGTATTTACAAACATCATTCTAGAACAATAACAATGAACACGTACAAGCCTACAACTTCCTCTCAAGAACACAAATGATTGTACTTCCCAGCGTAGCTTAGTGTTATCTCTGACCCGGTATCCCTGGAAACGTCCCCTAGGCGACACGGCTGATACCAAGGGAGAAATCTCCTCCTGCTGCCCCAATCTAGATTTTCAGCCGCGTCACCCTCGTGCTCTGTCGACGCGACCCATTAAAACGAAACAGTCCGTTCGTTCGTAATTAAATCCAAAGGAAGCCAACGGAGCATGTGCCAGGTTCGTGTCGACGGCATTACCGTTGTGCGGTAAGCAATGCATCCGTGATTTCTCTCTATCTCTTTCTCTCTCTCTCTCTGTCTCTCTCTCTCCCTCCCTCTCTTTCTTTCTCTCTCTCTCTCTCTCTTTCGTGATTTTCCTGATGTATTATTTCAGATGATGACAGATCATACGTATCCGCCCTAGTCGCCGAGCTTATCCCGACACGAAACGGCAACTCCTGGGATCTGTTCTCGAGCAATCCGCGAGGCAAGAGACTAAGATGATCGCCTTCTGCGGCGTGAATCCTCCTCCCCTTCGTTCCCGGCGTGAATCTTCGTGGCCTTCGACTCGACACCGTCGGGCAACTCTTTGCTGCGTCTCACGTCTCTCCGGCGCGCGTCGCCGCGCCTCGCTTCGCCGATACAATCCGCACGCGTTTTTCCCCGCGACGTGACGGACATTTACATGGTTCTCCCGTAGCAAGCGGCGCGCCTGATAGAAACGACGACGACGACAGTCGGGTCAGCCATTCGCGAATATCCACGGCCCAGAAGTCTCTGGTAGGAATCGCTACTGATATTCCGACTCCGAAACCGCGAGGAGCATGTCGATACCTTTCCTCTCGATATACTTTGCAGAGAAATAGATAGATCGGAATACTCGACAGCGAGAGCTACTATATTCCGATAGATTGCATTTCAAAGTATTGCGATTTTGAGTCTTTTTTGATATCGATACTCGCAAATGAATGTAGAGCGTATCGAATAAGGCACGTATGTACATAGTCCTTTTTAATTTGTTGAATAGGGGCTCTCGCGGAGAGAGATTCCTTTTTTTTTTCAAATAGATTAAGCAGAAAATAGGTTACAAGTCAGTCTCAAGCTTTCTTTGTTTTTATAATGGCAAAACACTTTGATATTTTCGTACATAAAAGTATACTTCACATAATTTAATTTATTTCTGTGATTAAGGGTCGCTTGTTCTACCTTTGGTAAATTTTACCTGTTGGGTAAGCAAGATTATCCAATCACATGCGCGGATTGCCAGATTTAGGTAAAATTTACCAAAAAGTGGAACAATCGAACCTTATCCAGTAAAGCAAAATATACTAATACATTACATTTAATAGTTTGGTCGACAAATTCGAACACAATGCTATGATTGATATTATTTACAAATTCGTATTGTGCAGACTTTCTTGCATAATTTTATATATTAAATGATTTTTTACGTATTAACTTTATTATTAAGTTTATTATTAAGTTTATTATTAAATTTTATAAAAATAGTGTATTTAATTCTTATATTGTCAACTAAACTTTTTTATATTTGTACGTAGTTTCGAAATTGTAAACGAAAATAAATTAACAAATAATTATTCAAAAATGTTTAAAAGTTATTGTAATAATAAGTGATCTAATTGTAGAAAAATTGAATGGGGAATTGATACAATGGATACAGTTTTCATCATTAAGATATTGTTATCGTGTTATGAGAATCGAGACAAATAAAGATTATTATATATATATCTATTATTTTTATAAAAATATAAAGATATATAGAATTAATTATTTTTATCTTTATACTAGGCGTAAATTACATTGGGTAAAACATTGTTATGGAACAAAGAAATTTTTTTAGCCTTAATGAAAAAAATTAATTGAAATTGTACATGTATTTATCCTGTGTGTTGCAAGTTTTATAAAGATGTATAAGAAATTAAATTGTATCAATTAATAAATGTTATTTATTAATTTAATGGTTTTTTGTGCGCGGCATGCAATATTTAAAAAATACTTTATCTTCGCGATATTCTGTTCTAATTTGTAAAATGCGTATATTTTTTATGTATAAATTTTAACTCGCTTGATTAAAATTATCTGTATATTTATATATCTGTATATCTATATATTTTTTCTTTACAATATAAAAAGAAATGAAGAAGTGAATACTGAGAAACATATCGACAAATAATAATATTATGTTGTATTTTTTGTTTGTATTATCTTTATTTATCTCTGTTTGTCTATTATCTTTATTTATCGCTTCGGTCTTAATATAAATATTTGTATTTGTAAATTGGCAATAATACGACATGATGTCATTCAAATTTATGATAAATCGAATTCTTTCACAGGAAATGATTCTCAAAAATGGCATAAAAATAATAATGCCAATTATTTGAATCAATATGCGATTTAATAGATACAATTTTAGAATTTAAATTATAAGTTTCAGGAAAAATATATTATAATCAAAGAAAATTTTGAAATTATATTTTCTTTGATTCAAAATCATATTTTGAAATCATCAAATATCTTAATTAGTCGAAATTACTAACTTTCAATTAAAAATAATCGAATAGCGACAAAACATTTCTTATTTAAGTTTCGATTAAGCGACAAAACAAATTTTGTGTTTTTCACTTTTAAAGATATTTTAAGAAATTGAAGAAAGTTTCTTTTTACTAATCTAAAATAGCAGGTTTATATACCAATGTATGTACAGAATAAATGTAAGACTTTTAGCAAAACTTTTAGTTTAGAGATTTTTTTAAAAATTCTTTAAAGATATCTAAGAAATTGAAGAAAATTTCTCTTTATTAAGCTTATATAATTATATTAACATATATATACATGAGTTAAAACCTTTGACTCATTAAACTAAAAAATTATAAAATTAATATAAATGACATGTGCATTTTAAAAGTTAAAATACTCTTTAAATTATATGTATCTTATAAACACATACAAAAATGTATAATATTTAATTTTATATATATATATATATAAATTTTACAATATATTCAATAGATTTTCATAATTGTATATATATTTGTTATATTTTACAATTCTTACTAACTTACCAAAAATTTATCTGTGATTTTCTCTGGACGTTTAACGGCGCCTTTTTTCCCCGAGCTAGGTGCTTCACTGGGGAAGCGCGTTTGTTGCGCATGCGCGCGAAACCTAGTCTGTAATTCTCGAACACCGAGTGCAATAGTGCAGTTCGAATCAGCAGTCAGTTCAGTTTGTTGGCGAGCTAGATGAGCTGTGTTACGTCGGGCGTGAGGTGAAGCGGTCGCAGTCTCTTCGTTCACGGGATTCTGATATCTTTCGCGTCGAGGATCGCCACCGTTGTCGCCGTCACCATCATCGTCGCCGCGGTACTTGTAGTCGTAGTGGTAATCAACGTCGCGAGAGCTCGCACAGAAAGAGAGAGTCTGTGATCATGAAAAGTGTGAGAGTGCGTGAAATCGGCTAGTGTGCAAGGAGAAGCTTACAGAGACATGGTAAGTATCATCCGTCAATTTTCTCATGTTGTGCATTCGTTTCTGAATCCATGAATCGATAATATCTCTCTCTCTCTCTCTTTCTCTCGTCTTGTGATGTCATCCCCATGGGGTTCGAAACGAAACGCGAGCAGGTGAAAGAGAAAGAATTAAAGCAGAGAATTAAAGGAAAATCGGGGCATCGAGTCGTTGACGCGCGCGAGATAGGTTATAAAACTGTCGCATCCGCGCCGTCATCGAACGATTTACGGGTGAGGTTCTCTCGTGGAGAGAATTCCCGAGGATTCGTCTGACGTTCCGCTGCAATTCGCGCGCGTGAGAAAATTCGTCCAGTCGCGGAGTCGAGGGTCCTGGATCGGAGTGTTCACCGAAGATCGATCTCCTGATGCCGCTAGCTTGACGCGCGCAAAAGGTTAGGAAGTCGCTGGAGGGTCATCGGCGTTCTGCCTCGCGACCGGACACGGTCGCTTTCACCATCTCATTAGGCCTGTTTTTTTTTAGCTCAACTTCCTACACGGCTCATCCTTTTCACTTTTTCTTTTCACATTGGAGAGAACAGATGAGCTGACTAAGAAGTTCATTTAACACCGTTTCTATCAATATAGAAATTAACCTTAATCTTCATTTAATTTAGTCTTTATCTTTTTCTGATTCTAAGAATTATGCCCGGTTCTATAAATGTTGTTTAATTTTAATCTTGGTTCAATTAACTTTATCGTTTTCTAGTTCTAAGTACGAGATTAAACTGAAGAGTAAGTTGAACCGAGGTAGAAGTTAATCTATATTGATAAAAATGGGAGTTAGAAAGGGTAAAGAACAAAGTTAATTCACATTGGTAGAGACGTACATTAAAAGAAGTAAATCTCGTGTCTCAAGGGGACATTCGTGTCGCTCCTTCGCGCCTGAAACATCATGCGAAATCCTGAAACACGTTCAATGCGCACTCAGTTTCCTCGCGAAGATTGGTTTGTAATCCCGGAGGATTCGGAGTCGATGATATACTGTTAGGATTTAACGCAATCTGATCGCTTAGGTAGAATCTGACGGAACTCAGGCACGCAAACGGCATCGTGGCGTCGCGGAGCGACTCGCAGAGAGTCAGAGAGGACAGTGTATCCCGTCCGGAGGCGTCTAACTCAATCACCGATCTGTCAACTGGCCGACGACCGACCGAGCGATAAGAACGTGTGTACATTGCGTGTGCGTTCTTATCGCCGTTGCTCTCGTTCCGCAATACTTTCACAATCATCGCGTGCGCGCGATGCGCGCAGTCGAGCACGAATGCGATATACATGGGGATCACCTCTGCGGGACTGTAGGGTTCAAGGCGTTTTAGGTTATGTTGAGCAATGATTTGTAGAAATTTGTAGATGGCACGTACGAGAAATTTGGCTATTCGAATTGTGCGTGTGAGTGTGCTTAAATGTATGAATGTATAATATTAAATATGTATATAGTATTTACAATATAATATATATTTTATACATACT